TCATCGCCACTGTGGTGGAATTCTTGGGAGTTGGCAAAACTTACTTGCTCTATTATTTCACGTTCTTCAGCCGATAGATGAGATAGATCGGGCATCACTGACGGATCGTCCATAACGTGATAAACAGAATCAACGTGCTGAAAAATGAACAATACAAATTAAATAATCACAAATGGTAACTTTATATAATTCGAATCGATGTGAACGGCGCGGGCGAAGCAAGAAAACAAAAAAAAACACGACAACAATGAAAACAGAGACGTAGTTAGTTGGTGTCCAAGGGTTGAATGTCAAAAAGGGGCACGAAGAAAACAGGAAAGGAACAATAGGAGAGCAACGTCTTTTGTCACTGAACTCGGTTGCATTATCAACTTTTTGATGGAGCGACGAATATCTTGAAACAAAACAGAAGTTGAAGAAAAAAAATGAAAAGTAGAGAAAACAGAGAGTCTCCTGGATTAGAAACAATGAAAAATGACGCCTCTTCCGAAGAAGACGAAAAAGAAATGAAAGGAAGCACCCTATGATGGGGTGTGGTCAGTTTGCCGACAACGTTTTCAGTGAATACCGTGGGAAAATGGGGTAGGAAGAATCCGAAAATAGGCGCCCGTCGTTTCTCTCTATTCGCTATCAAGAACTTTTTTGCAGAGAAAGTGAAAGAGAAAAGCACTGAAAAGGAAAAGAAATAAGAAATGAGCGTAGGAGTTTGGTGGTACTAGTGGTGGGGGCTTTGGTGAGGAAGTGGCAAGAAGGGAGGGGAATAGAGGAAGAAAAAAGAAAGGAAAACTCTGGAAAGTGATGGATATGAAGGTTTTGTGAAGGTTTTCTTCTTCTTCACAAAAAAGGCCAACTACGAGGACGACAGGTAAAGGATTCATGCTGGTGTTTGGCTTGACAACATCTGGACAACGCCAGATGTTGAAGAGAGACAAAGGTAAATGTGAAATTCGAAATTCGATGCAAGATTAACGACTGTGTCGAGAAGAAACACATTAATTTTGAGACAATGAATTCATTTTTGTTTCCACAAGCTAGTATGAAATAAAAAAGACAAGGTCTAGAAAAGATAGGGACCCTCCTCATGCTACGTACGGAAAAAAAGGAGGAGGGGTAGAAAAAGAAAGAGAAAACCGGGAAGGAGTAGAAAAAAAAAGAAAAAGATGAAGAAAACAAGGCATGCGCGACAGGAGGAAAAACCAGCCGAATGCGATATAAGCAATGAATAAAACAAGGACATGGATAGCGAATAGTTCATGTTTTACTCAGAGCTCTTCTAATAAATAAATGGATGTGTGTAGATGGGAGTAGAAGGGAGGGGTTTAGGACTTGCGGACGACTGATGCGCAAACGCAAGGAAGGAGAAAGAAGGGGTGAGGAGCAACGTCCGCAAAACACAAAAATGCTCTACCCTTCTTTTCTTTCGCAACCAGTCTTTCCCTTTTTCCTTCCCAAGATGGCTCGGTCCGTTTGTGCCAAACGTTGACAATTAGCAACTCAGCGGGCAGCTTATCCAATATGCTCAAGATTGCCATGTTTTGTTCTTGCTTCGTTGGCGGGCTTCCACATACACATACACACAGACATACAAGCAGATACACG